CCCGCCTTCCGGATCAGCGTCCGCTCGTCCTCGGTGGGCAGGAAGCGCAGCAGCAGCTCCAGGAAGTCGAGACTCAGGGCTTGCTGGTCATACCTGGGGGTGGGGGGAGACCCTAGCATTGTCAGCAGGTCCCTCAACCCCCACCATCCCCAGGGCTGGTCCCCACATCCCTCCGTCTCTCCACATCTGGTCCCTGCATCTCTCCATCCCCATGGCTGGTGGCATCACTCCTCCACCCCCTGCACACCCCACACCATCCCATGCCCACAGCCCAGCTGGGCTCATCCCCAACCTCCTCCCGACCTCCTCCCACCCAGGAGGGGACACCCACGTCTCGATGGCCGCGCAGATGTCCTGGATGCTGCGCCCGCCCTTGCGGAGGGTGATGGCCAAGTTCTTGGCTCGGTTGGACTCCATGAGGGTGACCTTGCTGGGAGCCTTCTGCGTGGCCTTCACCTTGAGGGCACTGATGTCCAGGGCAGGGCCCTGCGCCTTGGTCTTGAACTGCTCCTCAAAGTCACTCATGTCCAGCTCCTGTGGGGAGACGGGGCTGAGGGCACGGCAGGGAGGTGACGTGGGACATCAGGGGTGAGGATGGGGCCAGAGGACCAGGACAAGGGGGAGAGGAGTAAGAGGATAAAGATGGAGCAAGGGGATGAGGTCAAGTTGAAGGGATGAGGATGGAGCAAGGGGACAAGAACAGGACAAGGGGACACAGAGGGGATAAGGAAGAGATGAGGGCACCAGGGGATGAAGATGCAAATGATGACATGGATGGGATGCAGGGATAAGGACAGAGCAAGGAGACAAAGACAGGTTGAGGGGACAAGGAATGGCAGCAGAAGCACAGCACACCCCACAATGTCCCTCTCCATGGCACCAAGGAGCTGCTCCAACCTCCAGCAGCCACCTGGCACCACGGATGGGTGCAAGGTGGGCACGGGGGAAACCTCAGCATGGGTGTGGTGTCACTTGGGGTGCTGGCCCAGCCAAGCACCCTGTGCCCACTCCCCTGGGCCCCCCCCATGTCCTCACCTGCAGCACCTTCTCGTCGTTGAGCTCGTTGAAGACTGTGCCATCGATCTGGTTGGGCTTCAGAGCCACCCAGTTGAAGACAGGCATGCGGAACTTGGTCTGGATGGGCTTCTTCACCTTCACTGCAGGGTGACAGGGAGGGGGGGACACGTCACGGGGTGGGAGGAGGTCACCCACCCACCCCCAGGTGCCCCCAGCCCTCAGCTGATGTCCCCCCCCACCATCTCTGGGCCATACTCACCTGAACCATTGGAGGTGGGGGGAGCACTCGGCGCGGCTGGGAGCTGCCCC